TAACAATATTAACAATAAAAACAGCATTATAAAACTAGTCATTACTCAGCCAAGTAAGTTTTCGTGTAATGGATAATTTGAATGGTTGATGAGAAAATACTGACATATGGTTTGCCCTAGGGAAGCATAAACGGATCAACCTTTTTTCTCGTCTATATAAACAACCTCTGCAATATGAAACTCGATAAAGGTGATCTGATCTTTGTATATAAGGCAGATTGAATTTATTAGTAATGTATATATTCTTATATTTTATCAATTTTGCATTCATAAATAAATAGAATGTCTATATTGTTTATCACTTTGGCCTCCCACAAAAACACCAATAGTATTGCTCCCACTCCCCATATATTTACGGATCCTACAGGTGATGCTTAATTGTGTTTGGCATACAAAATAATACCTTGCAAAAAATAAGCTTCAAGATTCCATCAGTGACGTTTCTGGCAGCAAATGTAATGTTATTTAACGGTGCCATTTAAATAAAAAAGTACAAAAAAAGCATATCATAAATTAAGTCTTTTATTCCAGAAAACGATACAATATAGCATAATAGTTTAACAACAATACCATACACAAAATTTGAAATTATTTATCTATTGGTAAGTAAAACTAAGAATGGATGCTTCGAATATCCTTAATCCAATAATCATTTCCCAAAACAAAGAAAACAATTGTTTACATGTCTAATGAAAGCAGTGAAATGGAATATATATTCATACATAATATACGAAGCGTTACAGTTTTAAAAGAGTAGTAGGAGATCTAACAAGTTATCATCAGGTAACATACAGCCATTTTAAAACATGCGAAGCGGAATTGTCACTAAAGACGGCGAGTAATCTTAAAATAACACGTCGTCTTTATTGACTAAAATTTCTCTCTTTAGATTGACCTTTGAGTAACTCAATAGTAAGAATGAAATCTTCTGAACCATTTCATATGCGATAAGACACGACACGAGTAATACTAAAACCACTGACACCTTCCCAATAAACTGCTTACAGAAAACCATTACCATCAGTTATGTGGTTTTATTAAACTATCAACACACTATTATAATGAATATTAAGACGCCTTTATGTATACGCATTTATATGAATGGCAAAACATATTAATACTTAAATTTAAAAGAATAAAGTTTGCCGTCAAATGAATGTTACTGTAATAAATTTGGAAACGAAGAATACATACTGGATAAAGTTTTCAATACACTTACATAACAAAACAACATATTTAAAAGTGCAAATACATTTATAAATAATAGAATTGACACAAATCTATGTTTCTAGGGGTGGTGTTTTATGAATATGCGCTATATATTTTATGAATATGAACTAATAATTGCAACATTCTGTGATTGCTAAATCTTCGAATCCATCGTAATAATACTCAAACAATGATGTAATTAACACCCTCTTATATTATCTTAGATCAGTGGTTCCTAACATTATCGTTACTGTCACCCCTAGGACCTATTAAGTAATTTTACCCCAACTATAAAATATTGTTAATACAAACCAGGGTTCGCTGATAAATATCAACGGATATACATATATCATGATATATATATTAATTGATATTTAGTGTTAGTTTGACTATTGAGTCTCAATTAGAAAATTAACCAACCCGAAGTAGCAATCTTACTCATTATAAACTATGCGTTACTGGAAATTTTCGCACAACTACCACATATTAAAGCCATTGGCAGCTCAAAAATAGCAGCTTTTCATATGCATGATATATATAAAGGATTTTGCGAACCATGATATAAACATAACATTACAAGTAAATACAGATATCTTTAATAAATTATGGTTATTATCGTTTCCCGTTCACCACTTTTCGATGTCATCGAGGCGTTTTCATTGTTATTTGAAAAAACTTCTTTGTTATCCCCACAGAATAGCTGATTTAGCTCAACACCAGGGGTATTTACCCCCAGTTTAGGAACCACTGCCTTAGATACGGCTAAAAGAGATCAGTCACACTAAATCATCTACCACTTTCATTGTGCATGTCACAGTATGATAGACAAAGCCGTAACATTGTTATACGAAGGCGATACATTGCTGTCTTATGATCGCAATCTAGTAATATGTTTATATGACTTAACTAATATAGTTAAACAGTTAAGCTAAACTAATATAGTTATATATCTAACACAGAATCCACATCCTTTAACTTGTTTAGATTTATGATAAAACGAATGTTTAACATTAGATTAGTTTTATCGTATAATTTAATGTCGGCTACTACTTCTTATGCATATAAGAGAATTATTTTATAGACAGAAAATAAAAAGCCTTTAATATTTATAAGCTTACTGAAACTCATTGTTTTTACGTTAGCGTTATTTGAACGCGGTAGAAATCTTATATCACTAGGGATAGGGATATAACTACATTACGGCTTTATTTGTATAAAAAATAAATCAAGTATATTATTTTCTGTTATACTATATAAAATTATATTTATGAGAGTTGACAGCACCACAACAAACCAAACTAGGTTTATGGGTGTAAAGAATTTTTTGTTTTTATTTTATTTTTCAACTAGTGGCCGCCAGCGACTTCGTCTGCGTTTTCCATTATTTCTTCGCTCCTACAAGTTGCAGCGTGATGTTATATAACCTAAAGCTTTCCTCGATAAATGGTCTATTCAACACAAAAATAATTTTTCAATTCGAACCAGTAGTTCCTGAGATTAGCGCGTTCAAACAAACAAACAAACAAACTCTTCAGCTTTATAATATTAGTATAAATTAATAAAAAAAACTATCTCACTGTGACATATACATATGTGGGTATTACATACATAAAGTACAAAACGAAAAGAATAGTAATTCTATAAACTGTGAAGATTAGTGTCGAACCTAAGGTTTATATAAAGTAAGCCACATAGGGTGGCTTATGTAATGTATAAGTTAATTTCTTATGTAAAGGAATAAATGATTTCGTTGTAATATTCATAGGACGTCACAAAATGATAACCTCCTTGTATTTACGTTTGCACTGCAAAGTTGAGGCAATCAGAAAGTTTGGGAACAATGACACCGCTATTTTTAGATGGTTACGATTTCAAAATTCATCCGCATATATTTATTTGACTATCATGAGTATGCTAGGTATATGTTGATTTGTGTGTATATAGATACAAACATGACAGATTTATTGGGCGATTTGCCTACATTATGCATAAGTAGTTATATAACATATTAGTAAATGCTCGCCCATCCAGGGTACACGAAGTTAGTTTAACCACTGTTGCTACTAAAAAACTCATTTTATATCGGGGATTTAAACTCGGCATAGACGACTTAAGTTTACACTGAATTTATTAATACATGGGATATATTAATGTAGGTTATTACGAGTGAAGGCACAATACACTAGATACGCGTCTTGATTTTATAAGTTTCAGTTTCGTATCGCTAATGTAGTCCATTTGGTTTACTGACCGCATTACTGGGATAAAAATAGTTGTACTAGTCGAATTAATCAAATGTACGTTAGCCGAAGTGAGCCGCTTTTAAGTCGATCATATCAGTATAAAATCAAAAAGTAACTTAAACTATACAATGTCAGTTAAGTTAGAATTCTTTAACCAAACTTATACTGTGTATAATAGAATCGCAGAAAGGTAGTTTGTTATTGATTTAGATGGGATTTAAGCAATGGTTATCGGAATATTCGCATCGGGGGTCACAGGTACATATTCTGCAGTGTCCTGTTTTGTCATCAAAGACAATTACATATTGAGCTGATGGGAACAAAGTGGATGTGAGACAACTGAGAGTTTATGTTAAAATACAAATATTTCCAATAGATGAAATTCAAATATTTGCCTAACACGAAATATATATATATATTTATATATCCTGATGTCACTCAATTGTTACAAAACCGCAAAAAAATGTGACCCGAATCTAAGCAAAAACTTACTCTAATAGGTATATAATATTCGTGTTAAAAATTCTGCACATTATGCTATTTAAAATTAGTTCAGACAGTATACATAAATATTTTAAAATCTGGTTTAGTTAAATATTAATCACACTACGAATTATAGAGGAAGAGACATAAACAATGATAATTAGGCGAATTATGCCAGACACTAAATTGAATTTAACTAAATTTAAACATTAGTTATTTGACATACATTATGATTAAAATCTTGCGTACAGATTGTATTTCATATATTATTACATATTGTTCCTTACAAGATCTTCAGAGCCGCAGATCTGCTAACCGATGGCGTAGGTGCTTCCTATCACGAGTGCGCGTAATCAACCTTACTTTGTCATTGATGATATTAAGAGATGAAAAATACATTATACATATTAACTTTGGTCGGCGCAATTCACTATTCAAAAAATCCTACTTCATAATCTTAAAACAGAAACGAATGCTTCAAAACAATCCAAATGTATGTTTAAAACGCTGCTATACCAAGTTTATACAACTATTTATAATACTTTACCTTACACGAGTATTTAATGTATAAGTTAGTTTTAATGAAACCCATTGATTCTCCTTGGATCGTCAGAAAAAGCTATCACGACAGTTAATTTGTCACCAAAACAAAATTTGCATATTTGATGTATACATCACACATTTACCTCATTGTTGCAAATAATTGGTAAAGAGATGTATTACAGCAGTTTTTATGACAATTATACTGGAACAACATGTTCCAGACAGTTCCAGACAGTGGACAATTTCTTTATATATATTATATTCTTTAATCATATTACAATTTATGTTACACCTTCTGTACCCGGAGGTTAATAACTGATCTTTGTATTCATAAATATTTATTATCAATTTTAAAAAATAAAAAAGAACAAAATTTCTTCTTAAATAGGCATGTTCAATTAACGATAATAAGCGTATTTTCACACCAAACGTAAAGTAGACCCCCATCGACTGTATAATAGATGGGAAATAAAAAAAAACCGTCGTAACACTCACTCATAGTCGGCGGCTGACCGTCGGTTTGGTTTGAACGCAGCCTAAGCTAAAGAAAAAATTGTACACTGATCACAAATTTCTCCTGTATATTAGATGTCAAAGAAAACAATAACCGAAATATCACTGTACACTACACAATCCACCAATCGAAAGATAAAATACATAAAATAGCCTATAATTTATAATTTTTATTTTATTTATCAAATTCTATACTCACAAATTTTGATTAAGTATACATATGCGCATACGCGGGTTATTGTAGATAAATTAAGTACTATACAAATATCATGAGACGTTTTATCAATATCGAAATGAAGAAAACTATTATTGTTATGAATTTGTTATTATTTTGTTTTGGGAGTCGCGAAAATAAAACAAGATATAATACTAGTTAATATATTAGAATATATTAGCCGTCTAGCGGTATATATTAGCAACGTCTATAACGGAGAGAACACAAGTGCGGCATGGGAGTGGAGCTTGAGGCGTTAAGGCTTCGTGTACATGATGCAATCAATCGGACTGTTCCCGTTATTTCATCAGTACCATTGAACAGTACAGGGCCTTAATAATGATCTCAGGTTATGTTTCTATTGACATGTTTTTGTCACCGCAAAAGCCAGGTTAATTCTATTTTAAATCACGCTTATATTACACAGTTAAAGAAAATTACAAATTTATTTTGCTATAATTATTATCCTATCCTATTAATGCTTCCCATATAAACAATGGATATTCTGTAAATCGATTAGAACTATAGCAAAATATGATAGAAACGCCATTGATATGCCATGCCATTATGTTAGCAGAATTGAAGCACTGTTCGCTTGTACCGTAGTATTAGCTACATTAGTTCATCAAAACAAACTTTAACAACCCAATAAAATAAATATCATAAAAGTCTAAAAATTAATATGTCTAATATCATAAAACTACCTCATTAAAATATGGTGCAAAGTTGTGAATTTTACTTTTCGCATTTGTAAAATTTTAAAATATACGAACAACAACAAATTACAATTCATTTGTCATGGATTTAAAAGAAATAACACGAAACAATATTAATCCTATTTTACAATATCACGCAGCACATAAGGTAATCCAAAGCTGACATAATTTATGAATCTATTAGAAACTTTAAGGTTTAGATATTAAAGATCTAAATCTGTTATAGAAAGTCATTTTGTATTAACATAAAGTGCTGCTAGCTGTACAATAAATTTATGAACTAGTGTTGCTATTACAGATGAAATACGGGTCAGAATCTAATAAATTAATATCACGCATGCGGCACTTCCCTCTTACAATATCAATAAGACGTTATGTGTGCACAGCAACACTTCAATATGCATTTTCATTATATTTTCTAAATTTAGATATATCCGATCTATAGTTACACCGACAATGCTAGTCATTTTTTAGTTATCTGTGCTATTTCAATGCGTAAGTAACGTCGTATGGAGGTACGTGTACGTCGGCACTGTTTCAGTGGAATACATAAATACGTTCATTAACAATGTAACCGAAAACCATCATTAAACTCGCAGCTTTAGTAGTCAACGAGGTCGACACCTGGCAAAGCGGACGCGAACGAATGTACGACGAACGATACGAGACGAACACATATTGGGGTTCCGTCACATCAGTAAGGCAGTGTACAACTTAATACTCTTATTGGTTTACTAAAGAAATTTACTATAATGTGCAAACATTATCATCTGCAGATCATTGTAATCTGTACACATACGATATTAGCTAATGTTTTATACAACAAGTGAAGGCATGGTTCAATTTTAATAAAAACAAAGGCACCTGTCCGATTTACTGTTATAATTATCATATTTGATCGGTGACGGAATCCCATAAGGTTAGCCTCTCGCATCGGCTTTGATGGATATCGAGCCTAAGCTGCCTTGTGCGAGAGGGTTGCGTTGATAGTGGTGTAACAGCGGTGTTTGTAAAGATGTTGGGTCACCGCGAGGCCCTAGAGGTCTAGGCTTTAGTATATTGCCTCATGTGAATGGTGAATTCACATGAAGAACTTGCCAATCATAATGCCGATGCACGCCATCAGTATTGCGGTGGCGATCCACGGCATCGACGCCACCTGTGCATTCTTCTCCGGTCCGTATGAGTGCGGACGTTTCGCGCGTGCGTCCCCACCCGCAGATTTCAGGCGAAGCAACTCCTCCTGGTGGAAATTCAAAATATATATATAACACTACTCCAACTTCTAGCTTCATATCTATAAAAAATATGCTGCACATTTTGAACTATTATTCGGGTGACATAAATGTCCTGTATTTATTTAATTTGAACATGTAAATCACCTTAGATTAAACCAGTTTGAACCTTGACACAAACTTGAAAACCTAGTAGTAAAGCGGTCAAAATCTACGGGTAAAACGGTCCAATATGTGCTCAATTTACTGAGAAATAAATTATTTAATTCGCATGTAATATTTAAAATATTACTTTTATATGCATTCAGAATATTATAATTCCGAAGAATATTTTCCATCACACTATACCATACCAGGACTGTGCTATAAACGTATCGACAATAAACGATAGTCTACTATACGCAGTCAATCTTATAAACACGGGCATAATTTAATCTATACAATACCCGTTTCTAAAGCACAGGACATATCAGGCAATACATATTTTGTGGTAAAATATATGAGACCGAACACACTAGCTAGACTGTTTTGTCACTTATCAACACCATGCGTGCCGTGCACGAAACGAAGTGTTTTGTATGACACAGGCACAATATTTTCACTGGCCGCGCTCCGGTATTGATCAGTGACAATTTCAATACACAGAATATTGTTTTGCTTGGCAATTTTCTATTACGGTCATGGCACGATACGGTGTAGTAGGTTAACACCTTAAAACTGAATAATTACTAGCTGATATAGGACGTATTTTTTAGAATGACCATTGCAATTTAGTATAGATTACAAAGGTAACATACACTCGCAGTTATATTGACGAAGACAACGTAACCTGCGTTAACTTTAGAAATTGCAGTAAGATACAACTAATGTGTCCCACCGATGTACCTACGGACCACTAGCAGGTTACATTTCAAAGCGCAGTAAATGTCTGCCAAAAGAATGATACAAATATCGTGCCAACACTGTTGTATTTTACACCTTATTGATAATTAAAACAGGATTGATTATTTTAAATCGTACGTTCACTCATATTTAGAGGTGCACTAAGATCTGCTCTGCATAAACGAAATTTGCCATATAAGTTGGATCTTACTGTACTTTAGTATTTGTACAGGTTCGAATCTTGTTGAGGTTGTATGATATTGGGACAGACAATATGGCAACATAGAAACGCGTTTGTCCAATGACAAACAGACAGGATAACACAGCATAGCTTGTTTTAAAAACGTCGTGTGATTATCATTTCGCAATTGGTGCTTTTGCTGTTATGCTTAAAAATATAAAAAAAAAATACAGATGCCTGTTGAATCTGTAAATATATTTTCATTGAAAATAATTAATTCGCCAATAGTGCTATATTGAATAAAACTGCCCGTATTCAGTTCTTATCAAATATAATAAAAAAATGCAATGAAAATTAAAACATGCACAATTAGCATGATAATGTGAAATTTTTTAAAAAACATTTGATTAGTACATTTTGCTCAGATCCCGAAATTTCCAAATAATTATGATTAAAGAAATATGAAGTGTCGAAGGCGCCATCTCACCAAGACCGGAAACAAGAAAAGTTCATATTCACATTGATACGTCCAGGAATCGAACCCTCACTTCAAAGATGGCGACTATATTAAACCGGCATGCGTACTACTCGGTCATATGGGCCATTAATAAATTTAGATCTAAATCATCGATTAACCGTGAAGATTATTTGAGGCAGTGTTAGGATCCACCTTTATGCGTCATAGATTTTTGTAAATTTTGTTTTCGGCGTAATTGAATAGGCCTTCAGGTGTTTCAGGTGGTTCATGTTAATTGGTACAAGTAGTAAATTGTGATATAATAGCAAAAGCATGAACGAAAAGAAAATATAACGTAACAAGTGATCAGTTACATAAATAAGAGATTTTATTTTTCACATGTAAAATTAATTTCGCATATACATAAGTCGCATAGCCACAATGGATTTAATTTATGCATTTTTTTCGGACTTTACATCGTTTTTAAATGTAAAATTTAAATATTTGTAAACTATTTACAGGTCGCATTATTTTCTTATAATAAGCCCCATATAGAAACCGACCTTGTTTTAATTGGCAGTAGTATATTAGGTAATAATAATAAAAGCATTCCCTCTACGACAAAAATAAGTTATAATGACGTCAAATTAAAACTAATCAATAAAGATCAAAACTGATGCTGTGTGTACTTGTATATAGTTTAATAAACTGAATAGATAGGATACTTCTCTCTTTTCTAACCGACGAAAGACGAATGATGACGCCACGCTTCCCCGTTCTATTTATATTAGAATACCTCTATGATTCAATAACGTTTCTTCACTTGCCTTTCTTTAAACATAGAGTAATCTAACTAAAACCTTTTTAATGGGTATTCAATTTATTTCTAATAACAATATTCTTAAAGACCGAATGGATGGCAGGAATCTAAAGCTGTTGTAAACGCAAATAACTACAATTAGTAGATTCTTCTTCGAAATAAGCTATTTTAGTATTGTGGGATGGAGCAATTGGCCGGTATTTCAAATAAGGTAAACAAAAATCGTTCGTACGTATTGAGCGTAAATAAAAATGAAACTGTGGAAGTATACCCAATGGGGTTACAATGTAATTGTTGTAAGTAGTTCGGATTTTGGGTACAATTGATACAAATACATACAGTATAAATACAGAAAGGATAGAAGTAAATAATTAATCTAATCCAATAAAATAAGAAAAGCTTATATTCGAGACAGTAGTAAAATGTCATTAAAGATAATCTCAATTATATAAAACATAAAGTAAGTCTATTTCATTTTCAGAACAAAATGCGTCAAATATTTATAAACCACATATCACAATAAACGTTTCACTTAGAAAAATACAGAATGATATTATCATTTCTAGACGTTCAATCGCTTTGCATATACAGAACAAAAAGGCGATGATGTAAGAAATTTGTTATTATAACACACAACAGCTGATCAGGTTGCTACAAAGGCCGAATTTCTGCAAACAATTACGTACTTAACGCTCATTAGGTTAAAGCTTACATTAACCAAGGGCCTTTTTAGTTACATGACTCGCTGTAAACTACACTAAAATATGCACTTACTTTTAACTGCAAGTTCTCCTGTCTTAATCTGTGCTCCTCTTCCCTCAAAGATAATACTTCAGAAGATGCCCTCTTCAACTCATTTTCGTAATTTTCAGATTTAGGGGAAAGCTATAAAATAAAATAAAAAAAAGTTAAAACAAATAACTAAAAACATAACTTTTCCACGTAAATGTCCAGTTATTTCTACTTTACCATTTAAATTAAAAAAATATAGCTATTAATTAATAAAATCGATGTTAACACTTATTTCTGTTAGTGACTATGACAATATAACAATAAATGTAATAAAGTGTATTGGTAAAAATACTTGGACATGTATTGATCATGTGGGAAATACTCAAGGGCAAACTGTTACTTTATATTTTTGAGGTAATAATAAAAACAATATAATACACTTTATTGGCTCTCAATACAACACAGCTTAAAGGAAAATTAATACAATATAAAGAAATAAAGAAAACAAACAGCGGCATTATTGCTCAGTTTCAATTACTTCCAGGCAATTTATGGCAAAAAAATATATAAAAAAACATGGTGAAGGGTGGGTGTAATATTAGGTTACACAAATCAATAAACGGTGGATACAACTTTAAATGAGATACTATCATATACTTAGAGATATTAATATATGCAGTTCTACAGTAGGTAATAATATATTTAATAAAGAATATTGATTTAAGACATAAGCAAGAAATGACTTTTAATTTTATTGATAAAGGTGTGAGCGTGAAAGTATGTGCGCTTTGCTGATAATTTCTGGGAGGGATCCAAAGATGCATAGCATGCACAGAAAAAATGTATAATAAAAAAAGGATCTTGGGACACTAAGAAATAAATAACCAAAAAAGGAGTATTTTAAATCAGTCGACTTCAGTTAATATTTGGGAACGGTAAAGCGATAAGCAATAATATAATGTAATGTGTGTACCACTTTTGCGTTTGAAGCCCCAGACGCTTGGTCGTCATTCTTCCTCTTAGCTCCGTTGTCAGTAACATTTTGTGATTCCTGTAGATAATTGTCTCTAAATATTATAAAACAAAGTTCCACGCCGCGTCTGTGTCTGTTCGCGATAAATAAATAAAAAATACTGCACGGATTTTCTTAAATATATAGAGTGATCCCTGGGAAAGGCTTTAGTGTAAGTAATTGAAAACGTTTTGAGTTATAATTAAACAATGTACAGTGGGATTGTTCCTACTTTACAGGTCTACAAAAAAGTTCGTGATCTCCCAAGAATAGCCCATAATAACAGTTATTTTTTTTACATATTATTTTAGATTACCTTAGGTTAAGTATACATATTTAAGTTAGCCAAGTCATTGTTTAAACCACGCGGGCGAAGCCGCTAGCGGGAAGCTAGTATCTAGAATACTTTAATTTTAATTAGTTTAGCAGCTCCACGGCTATATTAGAAATTATGTCAATTGATATAAACTTCAATTGACCAGGCGAGTTGCACACAAACAGATATAACATCACATAATAATTTCAAGTTATTTAAAATTATAATATCCTACCAACATTTAAATCTTACTAGCTCATAATGCATATTGGCATACCTTGTGTATAATATACATACAGACACATGCATACACATGGTCATATGTAGTAAGCAAACACCTCTAATAATTATAAACCAAATCTTTTATTTTCAGTCTCTAAAGTACATTTTTATAAGGTACACAGTGTATCACAACTAGAATTGAAAAGATCATTTCACAGTAATAATAATTGTAAATTTATTGTAAACACTTGATACTCAGTAATATTTATATTATTTATTCATTTATCTGCTGGTGTTTTCTACAATTTATTATTGTTAAAGGAATGGTAGGTTGTTGCATTGTTTTAATATAACCTTAAAATATATAACCTTCTAATAAAATCTTAGTTATGTTTAATTTTCATATCTCAATTCGCTTTCGATGGCGCAAATACTAGAGCGTACGATCATTGTTAAGCAACTTTCGTAAAGGCCGGTCGTATAATGGGTTCCCCCGCGAAGAACCTTTCCATCTCCAATTGAATCGAAGCTGTGCCCAGCAGCTGGGACATTAAAAAGCTGCTAATGATGAACACAAGTTCATTGTATATTTAAAATTATATTAATGGCCATGTCATTATGTCATATAGAAGTAGTTTTCATTCTTTTACAAATGATTCTAGTGAGGATATATTAACAAAATGTGAAAGAATTTGCCCACTATCTAAATAATAAATAAAAACAAGGTCAATTGCCTTCAATACTGGTTTTATTAACAATATATCATTTAAGAATATTCTACAATATAAGACTATAATAAATTATGATTTGTTTAAAGAGATATGTGAAGTTTTCAAAGGTAATTAAAACTTGTAATTACCAGAAACTATTTGTGTTTTTCCATTTAATTTCCTCATACAACTCTAAGTTTCCAATGCACATGCTGGGCAGCAAGTTTGCGAAGATATTTACACAAATATGTTCTGAGTGATTTTCCCCTTGTATTGAAAAATTATATGACATTCACTATGTTCAGCTACTGGAGCTTTATAATTCGGGATACCCCAGATTGCCCCACCTTAGATCGGATCACACCGCGGCTTGTCCAGCAGCATGTGCGTATGAGTCATAACAGCCTCATGAAGTTCAATGACAAGTCAGGAACATATACGATAAAAAAAGCAAAATCATAAGGAATTAAATAACAGAATTGCAATAATTACCTGTGAATAAACTTTTGCCTGGTCTGAAACTCCGACACGTTTCTTTATGACGTCATTCTGAGTAGCATTGTCACCAGCATCCTGAAATGTATTCTAATATTAGTATTTATACACAATACAATATTAAAATTAGCTGTATTGAAGAATTAACTAGTAATGAGGTTAAGAAGTAACTTACATTGAGATTAGTACCACGCGGAGTCTCAAACACACACTTTAGCTTGTAATCCATTAATTGCTCTGGACTTATCTCTTTCCACTGAAAAAATAAGTTGCATATCATTATGGGTATCATAAATGGAATGTTTATAATACAATAATTATGTCAGGTACATACCACTTGGTCTATGTTAGTTTTTCCTTCTGGTGCGATAACACTCTGAACCATAAACTTGTGTTTGTGTTTCTCATTTTGATCAACATATACCGGCTGCGGGGTAACTAGAAAAATATCATCACAATATAATGAATAGGTTCCTATATTTGTGCCTCTAACTTTTTCCAATTTTACTTACTTGCTATTTCAACATTCGAATTTGGGCCAAGCACTCCAGAATTAGGACGTACACAGTATTTTTTTGGTGCAGTTGTTTTTATCTTGAAGAGGACTGTATCATTACTGGGATTTATCAGTTTCATATAAGTTGTATATCCCTGCTCAAACAGGCCTGAGAAATCAACTAAAATCATCAATAATATTACCATACTTTTTAACATAAATGTTAATTACAATAGTCATAAAATTACAATTGTAAGTTATTATCACCACCGCAAGGAACATTATGCAGTAAACAATGAAAATATTCATTTGAATAAGAAACTGGAGGTTGAATTTACTTTAACAGGATACATATAAGTAAATATTGATGCTTTTTTATTAGTCTATTATTTCATTTAAAAAAAATCCAATCACTAGAAAATTTTAAACAGTCTTTATAATTATCTTTCAAATTTAGGTTTGAACTTTATAATTTAGCTTTAATGCCAAATATCTTGACTCTATTGATATTGGGTTTAATACCAAATATAATAAATTATAAAGCATTTATTAATGAGTCACGCTTATAATCATTCAGTACTTTTTTATGTGAAGAGTTTTGTCAAGTGAATAATCAAATTATAGTGACATAATAAATTGACTCATTATTTTTTATAATAGCTTATTATCATAAGTGTTTAAAATTTGTAAGAAACATAACAATGCTAAGTTTGTGTCAGATATCATACTGTATATTTGTGTTAATTTTCTCTTGAGAAAGTAAAATGAAGATAGACTATCTCAATTATAGATTATAACACAATTGGGCTGGTTCAGTTTGGTAATGATAACTTAAAAAAGAGAATAATATGAGAAAGAAGATATCTACTGCTCAATTTATTAACAAAAACATTCATATGTTAATTGATATATTGGAAAGCTACATTGATATAATAAATACAATTAGTTTGGGAAAACTTTAAATTCATTGAGTAGCTGTTGAGTTAAAGTATAACTTGAATAAGTATATGATCATGCAGTAAGTTTAAAACAAAAGAGAAGAATTAATGAAAAATAATTAAATTTTGTTTGCTGTGTTATACAGAATACAAAAATGTTACAAGTTAGGAAATCACTAATAAATAAAACTGCACTTCATGGAATGGAAATCTCCAAAATACAAACTAGTTGTTATTTTTAAATTTTCAATAAATTAAGTAAATATATGATATCTGACAGATTCTTTAAGTAAAAATAATTTTGAAAAAGACAAATTTTCGCGATATGGTGGGTAGATATCAGTCTCATTATAATTTTCGGTAGGTAGTCAAGTCATAGTAGAAATATGAGTAGTGTATAAATCACCTTCCTCTACAAAAATATGGCCCGATTGTATTATTTTATTGCTATAAAGATTAGCTCGATTTGCATTTTGTTAATACATAGGCAAACATACTAGAAAGAATGAAGATTATCGATGGAGAGTAAAGGTATAATTTTGGATTATGATATCAATTAAATCGCTCACAATTTTGATCATTAATAAAGAAATTGGCTATCACTATGAAATACCGCACCCTGACAAAACGCCGATACCTGGAAATAGAAACTCCATTTGTCAGCAGCTAGCTCGCGACATATGTAAGTATGCTTCCTACCCCAAGTTTCCAATGCGGCGGATGATGCTTACGTACAATATTATTTGGTACTCACCTTTAAACTTAAGCTCATTTTGTGGCTCTATAGTCAACACTTGATTAGGCATTTTGAAATATTATAATTGTACAATCTCGTTGGCAAAATTATCAGATTCAGAAAAATGAACGTTTCGCGATGTCGGCCAAAGCCAAAGATGAACGATGAATACGACATGCGCAATGCGCATGCGCCTTAGATATTCGATAATACAATCGCTTGGAAAATCGATTCTGTATAACTATTCGATGCTTAAATAGTTATTTTACTAATACTATGAGAAAGGTTTTTATTAAAACTTTTAAGTTTGTTAAAAGCAGAGTAGTTCAAAATACATAATGTAACCCGACAATATCTATAAAGTACATATATAGTAATTTAGATCCATGCATACTCCAAGGTGTGAGGCATGAACATTACGACGGAGAAGGTGTACGTTAATTGTGTTTTGACCAGCCTACACCACAGATATCTTCATAAAACTTATCAAACTAAGCATTAAATGAACACAGGAAATCTTTACATATTTAGATTTTCTTTTCCTATACACATTATTCCTGCAAACACCAAGCATTTGCTAAACCATAGTAAACACCCAATACAAACATGAATCTTCACGTTTGGTGCGATTGTCCAATGAGGAAATATTTAAAAAATTAGTTCCCGAAATAAATCCGATGTCGCTAAGGTACTTTCTTGATTTCTTCATGACAACCCTTCCGGTTTTCTTTCATGTATAAAAGTAAATAAGTTTTCAAAACTCAATAAATAACTGATATTCTATTTGTACTCCTCGTATTTGTACTGATATCTAATTGTAAGTTTAAAAATATAAATTATTTTTAACAAAATTAATTTGAAAATTTAACTAAAAACAATTAATTGACTTCGTTGTGTATTGTTGTTAAAAAAAGTAAATATACATTATAAAAAAAATAAAATATTATTCAATGATTGATTCCTTATCTATCCACCTAGACCTAAACTTTTGGTAGAAAGGTGTTTTTTTTTAGTGCTTTCTTTTTTTTAATACTTTCTCATTGACATTTAGATGCTACAATTTGTGGAGTCATCTAGTGACATAAAATTTTGTTGCTTTTTTTAAAATACATACACAAGTCGTATGTAACAGCCTATAGATTGACAGTACGTTCTTGATTTCTCAATGACAACCTTTGAGTTTCAAACTTAGTCTTAGTTTCGAACTTTTAAAATTTCAGTTTTTTAATATGTTAGTTAAAAGGAACGGAAATTACTGTCTTTGGCCTATTCGTTTCCTTTTGCCTAGAGTCGCCATCTAGTGGAGGTGCTTTTTTAGTGATGTCTTTTTTTTAATACTTCGTCATTGATTTCGATATTTCTATTAATATCATTCGACGTGTAATAAATATTGCACATAAAAACAAGCTGAATTCTGCGTTCCTCTTTTTTGCAGACGTGATGGGCAATACTACCTATTTAGCCTTTTACAAATGTTACATGTGATATTGCTTTAAATGGTAAAAGAGAAGAAGCGGCATGCTCCTCGTAGCATTGACCATAAAATGGCACTGTTAAAACTACATAATAACTAGTAAGTAAACTCACTTACACGTTTAAAACATGGTATTCAGGGGAATTAAAGCATTGTTCCATCTATAGCGTAAGCGAGACAGCACACACGCTTGGTAGCATGTCAATTGGGTGAGTGAGACAGCGATGAATTTCAACACTACCATGTGTGAGACAAGAACTTGTTATCATTACACGCTGCGCGTAACAATACACATATACGTGTGGTGTATAATATGAGTTGTTTATTGAGTTTTGAAAATTAATTTACTTTTATACATGAAAGAAAACTGGAAGGGTTATCATAGGGAAATCAAGAAAGTATCGTAGCGACATCTAGTTTGTTTTCGGGAACTAATGTTTTTTAAAATACTTTCTTATTTCACGTATGTTTTTCTTCTTAGCGTGTGTGTTTTTCGTGGAGTTATTGACCGTACTAATAGTGTCAAAAACTAAATTCTTTATCCATATATCGTTGCATCCCTATATGATGAACATCATATTAACATCAGTACTAGACTAGTACAGGAGGGAGAAAATGACTTAATGCTAGAAGAGGCTGTGTAGGTTATGCTCTTTGCCATAAAATTGTGAAAAAAAAATAAAATGACATTGTCAAAATTTTAAAGCATAGTTTTCTGAAAAAATCCTAAATTTAGATGAAATCAATCGATAGGTGCTTTGTATATACTAGCCGTGAACGGCTTAACATGTCTGTAAAATTGACCTGTATATTTTTCTAGAATTAATGAAAATATGAGTTATTCAAATATAAATATATTAGTAAATTCTTGTCTAAAATTAGATCCCGGGCTTAGGCAGAAGATATTAGGTAACTGGTGTAAGGATATAATCTTAGGTTGTGCATCGCCTTGTAAGCGTTTTTTCCATTCATCTTTAAGATTAGCAGATACACAAAAGGATACAGTAACCGTACCTCCGACACCTCAAGAAGTAAGTAATAACTATGATCTAATAGTGGTCCCAAATTAGATATCTAACAGAATTGATACCTTTTTATTTTGTGGGTTAAAATTTCATTTTGTTGACAATTTCAACTATGCAGATGTTTTAAGTGATGTGATAGTTAAATTTCGATGTGATAGTTGATAGTTTAATTTTGTGATGTCTTTCTAATATATTTCTGAAGTAATTTACTTATAGTTTTGGCTCAACTTTAAAATTATGTTCTAAAACCTGATGTTGATATTGTTCTATTATTTGGTTTCATAGAATGTTATGAAGTATTTTTAAATAAAAGCCATTGAAACCAGAATCATAGTTGGGGTTGTAAATCTGGGGCCTCGTGGCCCAGATTTGTGGCCCTGCCAAGTCGAGCAAAAAGTAAAAGGGGTACGGCCGTACCATCCTTTTTTCAATATATTAACACCTTTCTTAAAAGTCCATAGATACAAAGAGTAAGTTATCTTTGTTGCCCATAAGTGATGTCAAGATATAATACCCCAAAAAGAAAGAAAGGAGCACTACATACAAAAAGAAATGAGATCCCATCAAAAACTTAACATGTACAAAAATGCACAAGTCTCACAATGTAATTCTTCTGCAGAAAAAGTTATGATATCAACATTATCCAAGTCAATTAATTCAGTACCTATCAATCTGTGAGAGCAGCTATCCAACCTCATTACAGACAGAACTTATTTTTTTTCATTAATTTTCGGGCGCATTTAAGCAAAATGCTATTAAGCCCTTTCAATTGCTACCCTACACAGAATTATTGAATAGTATATTTTTTTTATTTTTTCATTAAATAAAATGATAAAAATAATCAATTGTAATACAAATATGATTGAAAAAAATTGGTAAATATATATTTTTCTATACTAAACATGAATTTGTATGTATCTGTACTAATATTATAAAGAGACAAGATTTGATTCTTTGTTTTTTTGCATCGGGTAGGTTCCGTAACTACTGGACGGATTTTAAAAATTCTTTAAAATCCTCCCAGTAGTTATCCGTCCAGTATGATACGTCATATGCGGGTGACATCTAAAATTCACAGGAGGGAAAATGGTTAGTTAAGTATAAATTTGTTCCAGGTTACATTAATTTTAAGGAAGAATGAATTCAATAAAGAATTTACATCTGGGTCAGTCAAATCTTATGATTCTAATCAGCTGGCATCCAACGATCCTATTGAAGACACCAGATGTGAAGGGATCTGTAAGCTGACACCAGGTAATAAAATGAATATTGACATTGTTGGAATTTATTTAAGGACAACAATAAAAAATAGTTAATACCCGTTTTTGCGTTTATAGAAAGTCCAGCCCTAATGGGGTGAATCAGGGATTAAAAGTTTGTATGGAAATCCTTCAGTTTTGATGTCTGACATGAAATATTCGTTTTAGGTTATAAATAAGCAAATAGCTGTGGGGTGTGTTAAAATAAAGCTAGTTTTGTATAATTAAAGTGAGTTTTGCATTTTTGGGTTGCTTGTACAATCGGCGACAAGACAATGTCCAATTTTCCGCATTTAGTCGCTCTAATTGGTCCATTGTGCTTGAAAAGTTGTTGTTTTATTCCAGCCTACCCAACACCAACCATTTCTATAAGTCTGTTTTTGTGTTATAGGGATGTTGATGGGTGTTTTCGATGGACATGGTGGTCCCGCTTGTGCACAAGTAATATCCAAACGGCTATTGAGCTACATCGCGGCTGCGCTACTACCTCAGGATGATTTGAAGAAAGTACTCAAAGGGGATCCTCACCCAAGTTTTTTAGAAACTTTCAACGATAGAGTAAGTAAGAATTCATATAATGTAATATATGTGATAAAAAAAAACGACTTGATTTCTTTTTATAATGCAACCTACCCAACTGGAAAAATTCAAGTCTCCACCCCAAATTTCCAAGCTGTGGGTAAATTAATTTCGCAGTCTGCCAGATTCGCGATCAGTCGGCTGATGGCAGAACATTCCGTTGTGTAGTACAAGATCTCACCAGAGTGAAAGGTACAGATATTGGGAGGCTTTGAGACACTTTATTTTATACTGTTTTATAATTACAGATGTTTAGAAATCTTTACAGGAAAATTCTAATTATTTTTCTTTTGAATTTCAGGTAGAAATAGTAGATGATTTAAAAATAATTTATGAGAATAGTTTCAAGCAATATTTAATGCAGCTTGCAGATGAACCTTCAGATGGTAAAGATGTGCGAGCTTCGTTAGAAAAAGCTATATTAAAATTAGATAGTGATTTATCTAGGGAAGTGGTAGAACCTTTCAAGACAAGTGGTGTTTTAAATTCTAAGACTTTATCTGTTGCTTTGTCTGGTGCTGTAGCTTGTGTGGCCCATATAGATGGCCCTCATTTATATATTGCAAACATAGGAGATTGCAATGCGGTTATAGGTACACAAACAGAAGACAACGATTGGATTGCAAAGAAAATCACAAAGGAACATAACTCTGAAAATTTTGATGAGTTAAAAAGAATATGGAGTGAACATCCGGAGGAAGAAAAGAAAACTGTGATAAGACGAGACCGATTGTTAGGTGAGTTAGCACCTCTACGCAGCATGGGCGATTTTAGATACAAGTGGTCAACAGAAACGTTAAGTGACGTGGCAGTGCCTCTAGTCGGTCCGAAAGCCATACCTCCTAACTACCACACTCCACCATATCTGACTGCCATGCCTGATATTTATTATCATAGATTAACACCCAAAGACAAGTTTTTGGTGATTGCATCAGACGGCTTGTGGGATATGATGACCGCATTGCAATCGGTTAAGTTAATAGGAGAGCATATGAAAGGGAAAGTGTTTTTTAACCCTTTAAAATTGCCTAGAAAAAATATTCAGCTAGGGGATATAAATGAATTGTTGTTGCATAGGAAGGAGAGCTTAAAGAGTAAACCAAAAGATAGGAACGCTGCTACACATCTGATACGCCACGCTATCGGAGGCACAGAGTATGGAGTGGATCATTCTAGATTGGCACACCTGCTTAGTTTGTCACCGGACGTGAGCCGTATGTTTAGAGACGATATGACTGTAACGGTGGTTTATTTTGACTCTGAATTTTTGAGACAATGTCCGTCGTAAGTTTATCAACACGTTAAAGTGCGCATAAACTGGGTCTATTATGTGAATACATATTGAAATGTTCTCATGTTAAAACAAAACATTATACTTTACAATACTTCTTATTCGGCGCAATATAATTCTATTGCATAACTTCGTGTGTATAATATATTACCTTTTTCAATTCTCTCGCATTTCTATGATTTCTCACTGCACTTGTAATGTATTATTATTTTTATAACGCTTAGTACGAATGTACTATAAGAAATGGAAATATTTATTATGACTTGACACGAAAAAGATAGTTTTGACACTTAAAGTGGGTTTTTGTTGTGATATGTTAGAATGAAGCGAAACTAACTAATTTTTGAAACATATAAACCGTTGTACACTTGGACGCGACGAATCCTATGTTACTTGACACTATTTGCAAGGCTTAAAGAAAATTCGTTTCATTAGTCTCCATTAGCACTGACAGATGTGCGATCACCTTAAATTGTTGATGATAAGTTAGTACGGGGACAATTTTTTTCATAATATAGTTTACAAAGTAAATGTCAATTAATGGTTTTACATTATCACAATATGGGGTAAGTGAATGGGTTCAGTTTGTGCGTGTTTTAAATTAACATATCGATTGTAATCTGAATTCTTTATTTCTTTGTCGTAAATGCAATTATATTTAATTAATATGCTAAACGATATGTTAAGTCTTTAGTTTTTTCGATGCTTATGCTTTTTTCTGGACTATAACGGAAAAGTATTTAATGTGCTTGTGTATATAAGATTTATTTATTTAAAAATATAAAATCGTTTCACATTACAAATGTTGTCCTGATTCACGCTCAATTGTAGTGCCACTTATACATTTTGGGTTTAAATTAGTTTAATATTGTTATTTATGTGTACACTAAATTAATTTAAATGCCCAAAAATATTTGAGTTCATTTATCATTCAGTAATGTTAAAAGTTAAATCTTTTGCATATATTGTTACTATAATTACCCACCGCGGTGGTGCGAGACCTATGTTGTGTCTGCATATTTTGGGCGACATTTTCGAGAATATAAGTTATGCTAAATAAAAAAATGTATATTAATAAAGTTTATTGTATTCAAGGCTAGACAGGGAGACTAGATGCTTGATTTTTAACAATATTCTCTAATTACTCATAAAATATGAGTAGTGATTTACTGTCTTTATTACCTGATATCGGTAATTTAGTGTTTGAGACAAGCTAGCTACTATACTACACTATCATATCCAACAGATTTTGTAGATGAAGTAATGTCTGTTGGCTCTAGAGGCTAGGTGCTTCTGTGAAACGCAGCATGAAAACTTCATTTAGTTTGTAGTGTTTGTTTCTGTGTACGAACAAGACTAAATTTAGACTGTCATGATAAATTGCCATCAGGCAGCAATTCTATTGAACAAGCTACACCTAAAAGTTAGATCACTTCAATTTTTATTATTAAAATCTTCATTTTCAGTACTTCTTGGTTATTGCTAAACAAATGATTGGGTAATTTAAAAACGCATTATTCAATTCAAACTTAACGCACGAATAATAAAAAAAACTCAATGGCTCAATTTTATTGTTCCCTAGTATGTGTAAAAATTTTAATGCCTAACTAAGATAACAGAAATAATAATTTGTTTATGTAATTTTAAATTAAATCAATATTACATAAAACATGATGACAAGAGCATTACTTAAAACATAACAGATATCGGTTGACAAATCCCAGTAAATTCATTGCGCATTGTGATTTTATATTTTCCTCATATTTTGTGCATCCGACTGTTATTTCTCTGTTTCGATGTAATAAAAGTAAAAAAGAAACTTAGGAGTTTGCGGAATGTTTATGTTTGTGAGTGGTGTAGTTGAGGATAGAATAGTACAAAGGATTCACTTTAATTACAGTGCCTTCGACTGTTTACTTTTTTGTTTTTATGAATGTACTTTCTGTGAACTAAAGTAGGAAATTAAATTCGAGATCAAAATGATTAAAAAAATTGTTGCTGCCTTTAACATAGTCCGGTCGTCGAACAGAGCGAATTTTGTCCAAACGTCAAACTTCCATTAAAATTGACACTAGTTTAAAGCGACCTTACCCTTACAAATTTGACATATTTTAAAGCTTAAAGGCATTATTGAACCTTAATGGACGTTTGTGCAACTGACCGAGTTCGTTAGATGTATCTGTGCGAATGCAATAACAATATGTTTGCTAGCGAGTGAAAGAGATAGCTATGTAATGCCATGTAATTGTACGGAATTCTCTTTGTTCGCGCTTTGTTTGGTTCGAATCTATAGCGATAAAAAACGGCACTTGCCTCGGGCGCCAGTGTTAGGGGGGAGTCAAAATCATTAATTATAATATTTAATTAAAGTTAATAATGAAATAGCTTTACAAATCTCTTCATACACATTATAGACTGCTGGACATGCTTCAAAATCCCCAAATTAAAAAAGTAGATACGGACCTGATTTGCGAATTTAAATACTTTATACACCCGTATAAAGCATTTAAATTCGTAAATCAGCCCTGCGATTCTGTAAAACTTCAAAGCCGATTTCGAATCAACTCAGGTGTCCGAATTCACTTCAAAAAGCGGCATCCGCTCAAACTTGAATTGGTAATAATATTTCGTGAAATAAGTTAAGTGAGTTTCGAAATGATATAGGATTAAAATATTTAAGACACGTTCAATCAATCAATTTTGTTTAGTATTTTTATACAAAAAATGGAATCAATAGGATTTCTTTACTAAATGACTAGAATTCGGACACATGAGTGAATTCGAATTCGGGTCTGGATTGTTACAGAATCGCAGGGCAGGTGTTCTATTTGTTTCAAATAATATTACGACGATCGGAGATTATGAACAAACAATTTTGTATCTTATATCGCTGTAATAGTAACTTTTGTGTTTTGATCTCGAATTTCATTTCGGATTGTTGTCTGTGGGTTGGTGCTACCAGTACGTTAGTATAATCAGCCTTTTTATTTGCAACTAGTATTAATAAATTATTGTAAAATATTGTTGTTTTAGTATATTCATGATTATTTATTATTCGATTTATTTGTGAACAGTTGATGCTGATGATAATACACAATTTGAGTTAATTGCAGTTTTTATTTCAAATTTTATGTTAACCGAGTCACTGTCTGTAATTGGTATGAGGTTTTTGAATGTTTTTCAAGTAATTTAGCTTGTGTCCGTAAATTAATATCTCTTTTCATCATTATCAGTCTTAATGTTCCCATTACTGTCATATACCTTTCATATGAATCCATATTCAAATAAGGAAAATAGATCACCCATCACGTGTCCCCAATGGAGAATAGTAGGCGTTAACGATTAGAGATGCAACCGGGACCGACGGCAAGGGCTTCTCCTTATCCTCGAGATGATAAATCTTTAAATTGTTGGTCCCCCGTCCTATTGCGGGTCCTGTGAAAGTTGCTTAACTTTATGCGGACCGAGCTGATAACAGCGATAGATATTGCCATCGAGCTCCTCGATTCCACCCTTGACGTTTCAATTGCATTACTCTAATTATTACTGGAATAAAACAAACATCGTAATTTACTTTCAACTTCATTTATTATTAATCATCATTTATTATTAAAAGTGAATATTATAATAATATCTACTAAAGTAGGCGAATAATCATTACTATATACAGAAAAGGAGAGGAAGATAACATAAAATTGTATTACAAACAAACCTAATATACACAATAAATTGATTGGTAGCGAACTAAAATTTTTATCAGGAGACTTGATTAAAGTTATGATTAATTTCAATAAGACGAAAAAGACGAAAAATATCAATGGCAAAGGTATTTATTAAGATCTTTCTTAGATAAACATCTAAGTTTGTGCCGGTACAAATTAACAATAATTAACATTTTAAGGTGTGAAGTTACGGTTTCACTCATTTTGACTATCGGTAGATGGCGTTTCAGTGTTATAATTACTTTCATCAATAATTAAAAAATACGTCTCTTTTGCGTTTATAAAATAATATATCGATTTCCTAAATAATTAATGGATTTGGTTTGTTTGGTTGGTTAATTTTTGTTCGTGGTTCGATTGTCATGACGCATGTTTAGTGAAAAGGAAATAAATATTAAACAAGAACAGTAACGCCATCTATTGAAGCAAATAATGAAACAGTGATTTTCCACCTTAAGCTCGCTACCATTTATTTTCAGATATAAAAAATAATCTTAAAATTATTTTCCTTAACTTTCATATATCTAAGTACAGGTATGTTTAAATGTGAACGTTTAAGTAGGTAATCCTTTGTAACATTTATTATTTTAGAGTAAAATGTATTTAAACAATATTCTAGACTTAGGTATGTCACCATTATAGGCAATTGTAAATGAAGATTATTTTTGAAGGCAATATGAATGAAGGCAACACAAATTACTCATTTACCTACATTCGTTATCTGAATGCACACGTTTCAATTTATTTCTTACTGAATTTTATAGCTTTTTTTAAAGATACGGTATTCAATAAGATTTTAACTCATGAAGCAGACAAGCGTACTTTTTAAATAATATAATTGTTGAAACAACCTTTAAAGTTGGTTTTAATGTGAAATTTTAAACAATTGGTTGAAGATTGGTCAAAATAATTATTGATACTTGGAAAAAAATACACAATTGGATTTGTGACATATACATTAAGTAAATGAGTCACCACTTAGGTATTGTCATAATATCGTCAGTGATACAATTAAAATGATATTTGTTTAAAAGTTTTGAAAACGTGTGCTTTCAGATCCTTTACATCATCACATACGCAAAGCAGTCGCCAAGAGATTAACTTAGATATATAGCTTTTAAAACACGGGAACGTATGTGGTCACTACAGATACTTAGAAAACATGTAAAGCAATAAATATGTATTTAGGTACGAGTGATTTAAAGGTAATAGGTAACAAAGGTTTAAATACAAGTTTTTCTTTTACGTTAAGGAGTACCGTCTTAATAGGCCCATTGTTTTAAAGCCCAAGTGCAAAAGTACCAGTTACCTAGAATGTTTAGTCCGGTGATTGATTGAATATCCAATAGGAACATAAAGACTGTATTTCAAAAGTACATATTCTAGGTGATTTTGACATTCAAAGATGACATGGGCCTTATTAGACGCCGCTACCTTTTTAGCCGTAACAAGCTTTATAATGAAATGGAATTATTACATAAATATATTTATGAGAGTTCCATTTGATATAAAAATAAAAGCATAATTAAAATGTTCCTAGAAAGCAACGCTTAAATTAATGCCCATGCATAGACAATCTCTTCGCATGGTGGTTATACGGTCTGCTACTTAAATCTAGTCAAATGCACAGCCCGCGACAATTTTCCTACTCTAGTTCGTTTAAGAAACGCATCTTATACCCTACAAACAATGTCGAACGACAAAATTGACTCGCGATTCGAAACTACCACATTTTTTTACTACACTCACAAAACTCCGAGCAAACGTTCGACGCCATTGCACGCAACAAATAGCTGAAACATTATACAAATAGCGAATAGATAATTAGTTTTATTTTATAGAAATACGTTATAAGTATCATAAGAAAGTTTAGTTCATAAGCAAAAGATAACAATTGTATAAAGCTGTTGTTAGGTTTCTTACAAGATAAATAGATCTTAATGTTAAAACTACAATATGTTGAGTCGCTAACGGAAATATCCAAAAGTCCTCCAAAATATATGTTATCAGAATTCGCCAAGAAGGATGGAGATGTAGAATTTTACGGGTATTCGAAGAAGTTTGTACACTAAATTTGGCAAAGACTAGAAAGTAGAAATATAAAGAATAGAATAGTGCTCTCTGACATTGTGCAGATCCTCTACACCAGGAGACATGAAATTTGTGCTATAATTGAAAAGTTATTCGAATTATTCAATACTACGCCTCACTACGATTCTAATACACGAATAAATATAAAGAACATAGTACAGTTTAATGTTAAACATATTTATTTGTCACATTTTAAAACTGCATGATCCAGGCTTCCCTGGATCATACCTTCTCTTCTCGTTAATATTATCTTTAAAGATAATATTTTATACGTCAGTATGCAACTATTTTGTATTTTAATATCAAAAAATCGTAATTATTTCTAAAAATTGCTTTCCATTCGATACATATCCAAAATAAAGTTATCATGTAATAATGAATCAACGTTTTTTATTTCTTAATTTTAGTAATTTAATTACGTTATAAGTAATAATTCGCCGCAAAATGTAAAATTGTTTATAATGTTGCATTGATAAAAATTTAACATGTCGACCTCGTCGAATTATGACCGCGTGACGCAGCACACAATTTATTGTTAGATACGTTTCCATAACAACAGGAGGGCTGTAAAAACCCAAAAATTAATTATGTGTTTTTTTTTTTATATTGTCTTAATGCAATTTTTATCTTTAATGGGGCGCAACTCTTAATAACCTATTAATGTTTCAACAATAACATTAAATCGATAATAACGTTTAGGTATTTCAGAAAATTTTCAGAACAATGGTAATTTATTTTGACTGTACGTTTTAAGATGTAGATAAGGCATTTAACGCCCTCTACCAAGTAACATCCAAGACACGGAAAACGCACATACTTTTATTTCTTTTGAGCACTAGCGCACCAACCCTCGTACAAAAAGGTAGGTATAGGGCTCGTTATGTTAGTAAGCAAGCGTCTATAGTAAATTAAAATATTAATACCCACAGTAAAATAATGTTTCATTTCTGTGGTCATATCAGTTACGCGACATGTTATTCTTTAAGTTGGATGGATATTTAGCTTACCACCGTATTTTAATTTTGTAAAAAAAGAGTTATTAAACGATCAACAGTATTTTAACGTCTATAACAGGGTTTTTATAAAGATACCACATCTAGAGATATTTAATCATGTTTTTTTTGTATATACCATTATTTTTTAGTTAATGAATATTAGTATAGAAAAACGAATAACAAGTAAAGTGGGCGTTAAATGCCTGTCGCAGTTACCTTAATCCATACTTTTTATTATTTTACCTACTTTAGTGTACATTAAATGGTTTTATAAATTATATATGTAATAGATCGCTATCCATTAAATTTTTATGAGCAAAGAAATGTCGTGAAATGTTTTTATTCCCTCTAATAATATAAAGTATGAAATGGGAAATACTGAATTCTGGTTTCAAATCAGATTCGTAGAATACAAGTATCTAGTCTATACTAAGTGGGTAGGGATTTAGATTTGACTAAATAACTTTGGATATTTAAAGTATGAAAAATCTACGATGACATGAGAGTAAAAAACGTTACTGTAGTGCATTGAACTAAGTATGGCGGCTTATTTTAAAGCCAATTGTCATCTCTCGCACGGAATTTGCTTGCCTTTGCTGTGTTTATTACATTATAAAGTAACAAAATCTTTCGCGCCCTAAGAAGGCGTTAGACTCAACTAACATTTGTTTATGATTTTTTTATTAACATTTGACCGATACACTGTCATTTTATCAGTAAAAATAATCTATGAAGTCTATAATACCTACAATGACATTTGAGAAATAGCTTGTAACACTTTCGAAACAGTAGATTTTTTTTTGTTAACAGATTTCGTTCGTGGTTTCCTTTTTATAAAACTTAATTTTGGTTATTCATATCAGCTTGATTAAATATAATTGAGTGATGCATTTAACTCTAACGCCATCTTCCATATCTCTTAAAGTATCCAACAGTACATGAAAATAAGCGATTCATATAACATTAACGGTGTTCAACATTTACTTAAACAAGAGCAAGATTTTTGCCAATCCGTAAGTTACGGCGTGATACATTCTGTTCCATCAGACACTCGACAAACACACCAACATTACATTAAAATTATAAATAATATTTACAATAACAACCACAATGTACACACATTAGTACATCAGTTTACCGAAAATATCGAAATTCCACAATCGAAATTAAAGCTTAAATCACTGTGAAGTTAAACATTAACATTGATTGGAGAAAATCGACGGCTTCGTATAACATGACATCTATTAATGTACTTACTTATTTTTATGCTGCGACTGGTATGGTTACAGTTGGTTGTATTTATTTATGTTTCTTATCTGATACAAAAGCAGAATTTCAAATTATTCATATTAAATGCTGTAATTTATATCCAGTTAATATACCAATTTTGTCAAGGAATATCCTTGTTAGCTTTAAAGATTTACGCGTTTCCAATTTAAGAATATATCATATTATCTTTAAACCTACTGTAAATATTACAGACAAGTTTTCGTAGAAAATAAACTGGCCATCGCTACGGAAGTATTTTAAATAATTAGGCAAGAAATTATAATGAAACTTTAAATAAGTTTGAAGTTTAAATAATTGTGATTTTTATGGTTTATAATAAATAATCAAGACTTATTCCAAAAATCTTTACCCCAGTATAGTTTAAATAGAAATCTAATATATTATCGCGAAAATATTGTTGTATAATAGACAATTTGTAAACTGAAACTTTATATCATTTCAAATTATCTTAATGCAAAGAAGACTTAGTATTTGCATTAAGATAATTTGGAATTTATAATACGTTGTCTGGCAAATCGCCCGAAATGTTGTCATTATTGCTCACCGCAGCCTTGACTCAACTAGATCAATAGCTTCATTTAGTTAAACTAATATAGCTATTGAATTTTGGTGAACGCACATTGTTTTTTAGCAATATAAAAGGTCTTGCGGGGGCAAGAACGCTATAAACATAAAGATCAAAAGTTATATGAGCGAGTGTTTTGTAATGCTATTATTTATAATTATTATGTGGTAACACAGAGGGTCGCGCTTTTTCCGTTCTTCATATTGGCAAATACGTTATCATATTAAATGTTACCAATCTACGCAGCGTATCTAAAGTACCGTACAAAAGTACCCATCTGAAAAAGTAGATTAATGTGAATGTTAGAAAAAACAAATAATAGAAGCTTAACCCAATTAAAGATTATTACATGAAATAACTTATGAATACTTATATATAAAACGAGGGAAGGTCAGAATAGACATTAGTCAACTTTCAGTTGTACTGTACACAAATTATATTTTATTGATTTCTCTTAAATATCTATATCGATATTGTTTTGAATCGTGATCGTGACATATGTCATATTTAACAATTTTGCTCAGGAAAGCATTCGAGATACCTGTCCTTATACCAATACTGGAACATAAATTGTGATCAATAAAGACTAAAACAAATGCTGTGTGACTGTATGCAAGCATTTCGTTTGCACATGGACACAAGTAAAAAATATCAGTTTTTTTTTCACAGTAACTGCTATGTGGGTTCGCTTCTTTTTATAAATTAATAAATTTTGTATTGTAACTGGGTATTAAGAAAACTCAACAGGTTGATACGCAGCGTTGCTCCATTCGTAGCTCTCTAAGTAAATGTGAAGTCCGGCGAGAGGATGACTGTGGATTAATCGCCCCCTAGGGAGAGCGCCTGGACGATGCGGGGATCGGCTTTGCTACCCTCGCGGAATTCCTCCAAGGTCAGCCGGTCATCGTGATTTTTGTCCATTTGGTCGAAGATCTTGTCGACACGCTTCTGCGGGGTGTTCTCGTCTTCTGGCTGCGGCGTTTGTCCCTTGAAAAGATAATACTTAAATACGTAACACTATTATATCCTTTGTTAAGAGAGAGGTTGAAACAAACAAACTGGTTGAAGATTGTAAAATGCCGTCTCATATTTTGCCGCTCTGGACAAATGTCTGACTTATAAATTACACTACATTACTTGATGATGCGTCCTGATGCATTTTGGTGGCAATATATTGCAATTTGGCACACGTTTCATGATCCGAATGTATGTTTTGACAGCAATAAATTTGTAACAATCATGAAGGAAATAATAGATCAGTAATACTACATTACTCGCGATCATCAAATTTTGAGAGACAGGGGCGTAGTTAGGTGTGGGCGAAGGGGCCCCTTGCCCACGATTACGCATCAATAGCTATGCTGCTATGGTCCATGTTACGCTGCGGATATACTTACCACCATCTGATATATTGCGTCAACTATGTTGTACATCTCTTCCCGTGTGATGTAGCCGTCGTTGTCAACGTCATATAGACGGAAGGCCCCTGAAAAAGTTATACAGCTTGTATATATACTCATTATCATTTATTAATGTTTCTACTGTTGGAGCCCCGTGTCCAATCTTGCATTACCTTTTGAAGGTTTTATTCGATTGAGACTGATTTTATTATGATAAAGCACAGAGGCTAATAAAATTTTGATCACTAATCCACTGTCCTACCGTATACACAATCGAACACATTAGCTATTACGTCATCGATTTCTTCTTCCCTTTCATATTGAGTCTTATAATAGAGTTGCCATAAGAGAAAATAAATATATTGGTTACTATTAATTACTAAGGTATCTATACTAATTGTAAAGATGAAGGACGTGTTTGTTTGTTGTTTAATAGATTTTTTTTGCGTTGTATAGTCCATTTATCGAGCAAGGCTATAGGCAATGAAATGTGTTGCAAAAATGGGAGAATATTTTGCTTTTTTTAAGTTTCCTTGCGTGCACTGCGTAAATAGAGAAAGTTACGCAAAAATCATGTATCACGATATTGATCCCCTTTAAAAGTAAGCAAGAACAAGCTGACCGTCAAGTTGCTATGAGGATCAGGTGTAGAATCTTGCACAAGCAAAGCATATCTAGATCAAAGAAAAATGACTGCGTAATCAACGACTTCAACAGAAGAAGTATTATTTCAAATTTAAACATTTCTTTATATTTTTGCAAGGCGTGTTGATTCTAATAAGCTCTAAAATGAAAAGAAGAGCAAGTGTACTATTTTATGGAGACCTGCGTGTTATCAACGGAAACACCGGTAGGTTTTCTTATTTGGTTCCTTCTAGATCTATGCCCCAGCACTGAGGATAAGCTAATGATGATGATAACTCAAGACTCCAGTATAGCAGGCCAGTGTGCACACAGTACCCTTGGACCACGTTGGCAAAGCCTCGGGTTACAGCTAGTAATATATAAGACTAAAGATATTGGATACCTGACGTATTTTTATTATATTGCGACAAAAAGTAATTAATTGTAATGTCATGGAGACAATATATTACTTCAACCGTAGCAATATCGAGTGCCTCTTTGGGCGCCAGATTTAGAAATATGGGGTGGGAAATATATATTTCTATTTCAATTTATTAATGTGCTTAGAGAAATTATACTTTCATTTTCACTTTCAACAAAAGTATACCATGTTATTAATGGATAGAAGACTAATTTATAAGTACTTACAATGTAATTTTTCGTCTAAATTTCCCCGTGACGTCACCGATAACGCTCGAATAAATTCCTCAAACTCGATTGATCCATCCTGAAATTGAAAATTTAATGTTAACGTAAAACTTTAACGTACTTACATATATTAGATGCATGAATAACACTACTTCTTCTTATAAAAGTAGAAAAAGGTTTTATTTGCTTAGATGTGATTTGTCCAGCTATACTATATGAAATAAATTCATTGTTTTTAGTTTTGGAGTGGATTTTAATTAATTGGGCCCTATGATATGACAACACTGTACTCGACTTCGAGTTCGAGGCTGGTTTTATAACAGAATAAAAAAAAATTATTTTTATGTAATTTTGATGCTTTTATGATTTTACTTTTCCGATGTTTATTAACACATGTTCGATTTTACAGTGCTGTATGTCTGTGATGGCGCATTTACATTGGTTGACAAGGTCATAACATTGACAACTAATGACCGACCAATGAAAAGAACTACAAAATAATTGTTAAAACACCCATGATTGTACCATATTTATGCAAATAAATGAATATATTAATCTGAAATATCATGCGCCACTCCGCATGCGGGCCCAAGCAATCGAAATGAACCATGATAATTGTGATATTATATTATAACCTTACATTATTTTCGTCGAACACTCGAAACACCAGCGAGGCGAATTTGCTCGGGTCACCTTGAGGGAAGAATTGCTTGTAAATCTTTATAAATCCCTGTAAAAGAAAAAAAAGTTTTTTAGAAGCTTATAAATCCCTTTTCAGAACCCTATTAAAACAAAAAACTAATATCAAATTGATTTTGGCATTGGCTATTGGAGATTCCGAGTTAGCAAATTGAAAAAAAAAAATTGTCTTTAGTACAATATTTATATTTATTTTAATAAAGTTTATATCTATGTTATTTACATATTTTTTCCACTTAATTAGAAGTTTATTTGAGCTTTTGGGCTAAAATTCTGGGGATATGGACTCCGAAAACACGTTATAGCATTTTGTACGGCTCTATAGTTATATCCTATGCAAATAATTGCTTGAATCGTGGAATTAATTATAGTAACAGTCGTTGGATCGTCCGGCGAATATACAAGGGATAAAACATAGATTCAAACTGCAAGTTTTGTATGTGTTTTAAATTAAATTGTTTATTGTGTTGTGCGTCAGTTGTTGCGGAGTATACGATCGACTATTATTATTCGGAGTTTAGTAAATACAGTATTGAAATTAGGCTATTGTGTATGAAGACCTGCTCCCACCCTGCTCCCTTACTCTCGAACGCAATCTCGACCGATCGACATTGCAATTGCGCCGTTTCGTATTCTTGATAGGTTACACTATAGCCAGAGTATGCTAGTAAGCCTTTAATTTCATGGCGATTGTCGTAAAGAATTCATTCCACATCACACGTTACAATTATAAGATCCAAAATGCCATAATATTAGTTTCGTACAAAAATACTTCTATACACCGTATAGATGTACAGGTATAGAAGTATTTTAGCACAAACAAAGTTTCAAAGAACCTTATAACACCGTGGGTCTTAATAGCCGCCGGTAACTTATTGCGCCGGAGATTCTAAAGTGACTTTCATTGGACTCAACTGGGATTTGTCGGTTAGAAAATTATATATTTGAATACCGTTTTAAAAAAACACAAATTGCTGCCTTACCAACCAGATACAATAAACTCGAGAAGAATGTTTAACATTGCCACAATAAAACATGTAAAATCGGTTAAAGTTTTACGTTATAAGAGACACAGAGCAGTAGAGCTGCTAATAAATAAAATACTAAATATGTAACAAGTTTTAAATGCAAAATCACTCATTTATTACAATTACAATCTTTTGTATAATATATTTTAAACACACACACACACACACACACACACTTGTACAAGCATCCTCATTGATGTTCTTGATTGATGATGTTGTTTGTGATTATTGTTTGTGTTATTTTAATTATCTTTTATTGTCAGTGGCTACATCTCTTAGAATGTAACTCTGATATGATTGAGCGGGGCTTCTTGAGACAAGCAAATTACTTGCTTAAAAGGGGGCATCAATTGACACAACGGACTTTGTATTTTATTGGTGAAAGTAAATAAATAAAATAGCATAATATACTATTATATTTTAGTATAATATACTATTTTATTTATACTACCGGAAAAAAATAATATGTATTTATTTTCGTATCTTTTTTTTTTACAATTCTAAAGTGCATGACATTTATTTTTAAACTGAGAATTTTGATTATAAATTGCCAAAGAGGTTTGCGTGCTGACACAACTTTACCTTACCTTCATCACTACAGATATAAGTTTTTATTTTGAAAGTGGTTTATCCAAAAGCATACCGCGTGTGTTTTCAGTGTACATACACAAATATTTTATTCCTTGGGACTTATATATGAACACTATTCTGATTTTACCTGTTACCGGAATGGGCATTCGAGCAATCACATATCATATTTTAATAATGCTTATATATTTTCAACTGGAAAAAGTTGCGCGTTGATATTCGAAACCAGGATTAATTTTAAATCAATCCGCCTGTTTGTTAAAACGATAATCTAATAAAATTTTTCTTTTTAAACGTGTTTACTAAAGTGTAACTAATATATTTATTAAAAATGGATTTATATTGGAATCCCTATTAATAATATTTATAACATGTTATTCGTATGTAAGTGTTGATACTGTTTATCTTTATTAATACTAATATTTTAAGATATAAGGATTTTTTTTTGTATCTTTAGAAATACTGATCTGATCATGTAAATTCTTTCACCTACGGGAAACTACATTATACCAGATTATATGCAGGTGCTATAAACTACGCTGACGAAGTTGTAGGAAAAGAGCTTATGAAAAATAAAACATAAAGTTACTTCAGTGCTACTCAAATATTTTCTAACCATATTAGTCAGTTGTACAAACGTCCATTAAGGTTTAATGACACCTTTTAGCTCTAATGTAAAAATGTGTCAAATTTGTATCGGTATTGTGGCTCTAAGCTGTGCTCTAAACTGTGCTCTAAACTAATGTTAATTTTAATTGACATTTGTGCAACTGGATGAAAGACAGTAAATCACAAAGCAATCAAAATTTAAACTTACGGCCTCCGTAGCCGAGTGGTTCGCACACCGGTTTCAAGGCGTCGCCATCTCTGAGGTCGCGGGTTCGATTCCCGGTCAGATTCGTAGAAAATGAACTTTTCTATATTGTCTTGGGTCTGGGTGTTGTGATACCTTCGTTGTCTCAGATACTCCATAATAAGGGGACTAGCTACTAGATTAGCTACTCATCTTTGAATCTGAGTAATGTATATGATGTTTGTTTAATATTTATTATATATTTTATTTATATTTGTCAAAATGAAACAGATAATTATTTGCGAGTATCACATACAGTGGACAGTTGCTCTATTAAAATAAGGTAACTACTCATTATTTCCTTCAAGTTTTATGTAAGTCATAAATAGGTACCTGTTCGGTAAGGAGACCGTTTGGACAATCCTTCAAAAATCCTTTGTGCCTGAAACAGACAAAAAAACAATCTAGAAAATTGTAGTTATTACCTATAATAAGTTTTGAGCGAGTGAGTTGTGAACTTAATATAATAGGGTTGCCAGCCATCATGTGTTCTTAGCACATATCCTGATATTAGTGGTGCTTGAGAAAGTGTCGTTTTTTTAAGCAACAATTTGAGTTACTAAAGCACATAAGGTCACGTTTCAAAAAAACTATGCAACGCCTTTGCAAAATATCGCGCTTTTTTGAAGGAAAAAAAAATTATAATAAATAAAAATAAAATTTAACAAAATTATATTTTTCATCTTAATTATAAATAAATATTGTAGATTATTATATCTACTTAAAATTTAATTTTACTACGTTTATCTACTGCATTTATATTCTTCTATCTATGTGTTATCTACTGCATCCTGTTTTTAAACTGGATTATCATGGTCTTTCCAATTTGAATCATAGTTTTCAAAATGAGGGATTGGCAACCCTAATCTAAACAAATGTTATATCATCATTATTATCATCAGCCCTTTAACGAGTCCACTTATTATGTAACAGGGATTCAGGCCCTCCTTAAGGATGGACCATGATTATCCACGCTGGCTCAATGCATATTAGAACGGCTACTGCAACGGCTTACCGTGCCTTGCGAAGCACGGAGTAGTTCGATATAATAATTTTCGATAATTTGATAAGCTGTGCACGTGCAATATTACTTACCAGAGTCGAATTTCTTTCTCCGTAACTGTAACAAAAATAGACGTATTTGAGTAAATAAAATTCACATTTTGTCTAGTAACTTCGGTGTAGCGAGTTTACCGCATAACCGAAACTGATCGAGCTGTCAAAATGTAGTCCTGTAGAACAATTCTGCTAAGTTCTTGTTACTAATCACAAAATAATAAATATATCTGTCACTATTGATTTGTGAGGAAGACATTGCACTAATAATACCTATTTGTTGTATTGTATTGGCAAAATGCAAGCAGTTGATATTCTATCGAGACGAGATGATGACTGGTTAAAAAAAGGAATTAGGTTTTTTAGGCCTTCAAATAGAAAAATATCAGATACGTATTTTTTTTTACTTTAATGTAACAAGTAATTACTTAGTTAATAGGTATGAAAGTTGAGGAGTGGAGGCTCGCTACGTCAAAATTTTGTAGAAAATATGATTTCCTACCACATTTTAACTCAATGTATCGCTGTAATTTGATAAAATTTGAAATAAATACCGGTTCTTAAACAAACTACCTGACGAACAAACAAATAAAAATTAGTCATAATTTCTATTAGCCTGCAGGATTTAGTTGAAAGGTAGAGCCACAGTAGTGCTATTCTATTAAAAAAACAAAGTCAATCAGCATTAAAATTCAAACAAATAAAACCGACTTCAAAGGTAACATAGGATTTCATTGAACCTTTAATTGAAATTAACAGTTCTCTGTTCAACGCTGTAATTTTATAGAATACCAAAGCAGCAGAAGTATTCTGATAAAAATATAGAAATTTAAATGTAGCGTTTTTTCAATTTTGTCTTCTTACAGGTTACCTTATTCAAAAGAAAGTAGTATTGCATATAAATAAACCATAAGCAACTTATTTATGATGGTTATGCAAGTTAGAACTGATGAATTAACATGGAATTAGGTAATTTGTAGTTTTGACATCAATGATCTTGTGTTCCAAATGGCTGTAATTTAATCGCTTAATAATTTTATATCAGAGACTGAATAGTCTTACATATACGTATTTTTCTTATTGTGGGTGACTGGCTGGAATGCGCCATCCCTTTTTATTAGTTTATGTCATATTTTTATTTTGTTCTCTTACTATTACTCCTTGTTTTATTCGGGTCGGACATAATTGTCGTTTACTTTGCTTGCTGTGATTTGTGATTTATTATATTTTATCATACAGCCATTAGTTTTTATTTACAGTCCACAGTACAGTATTACAGTGGCTATCACTTTTAATACAAATGCCTGGGAAAATCTTATTATTTAGGTTTCCAAAGTAATCTTCGATAAAATAAAAATGATCTACTATGAACTGATCACATTAATCCTATTGAGAATCCCCTCCATTTTCGAAGTAATAAAAAAGTCTTATAAGCCCAATTTCTTACATTATAGAATTTTGTGACTGAACTAAATCTTTCAGTCCATCCGGGTTATAACACTCTTTTAGAAACGTTTCACGGCCCTATTGTAAGATATCCTCAAATTATATAGAGGTCAGTTTCGGTAACCTCAGAAACTCCTTGCTATTGAAAGGTAAGTCGTTCGTTTTTAGGATGATAACCTTTGGGAGTACGTTTATGTTACACTATTACTTTATGTACTAAATACGTAATTAAGAAAGCATAAGGGAATGTTGGTGAATGGCGGGATATATCCTATTTTTTCTTCATTTGTTTTGTGTACCTTTGGCGCTTTTCGTGTTTGTTTTTGTACATGAGTTTTTAATATTTTATTTTGAGGAGAATAATATCAGTCAGCTTTTATATAAAATAGTAGATCTTTACATATGAAATTGGTGTTTGATAACAGAAAGTCGAATATTTTTTAATATAATATATTTATTTAATAAAAGTATAAACCATTGTTATCTATGCACTTTTGTCATCTCTTAGGTAGTTCAATGATCCCTTTAATAAAAAAAACCATTCGGACGGAAATTGAATTGAATTAAATTTTTTCTCTTGCACGAAATGGTAATCTGTTGGAGCAAGGTCCGTGGAGTACGGTGGATGTCTTAGGCATTCCAATTGAAGCTCTTCTAATTTGGTAGCCGTCTACTGTGCAGTGTGTGGTCTAGCGTTGTCGTGAAGTAGCAGTGGTGTAGAGCGATTGACCAGCTTCGCTTGTTTAATAGCTAGTTTTTCCAGCATGGTTTGCAATTGCTAACAATAGACATCTGCCGTAATCATCTGGCCAGATTTGAGAAAACTGTAATGAACGATACCGGCAGTAGTCCACCAAACAAACACTTACAAGTAACTTTTTGGGGTCAATTTTCGCTTGCCAGGGTCCAACCAGGGATTATCGTAGAGAATCGACGTTTCATCACAGGTAATGATTCGATTTAAAAACCTTTAATTATTGTGCCGGTTAAGTAATTCACTCAATTCATGAGGTACCCAACTTTCAAGCTTTTTAATCTTTCCAATTTGTTTCAAGTGGATTAAAACAGTTTTATCACTAACACTGCAACTTGCAGCTTACTCAGACGTGGTTTGCGATGGATCCTAATAATTATTATCTCAATGAAGCCTTTCATTTCCTAATCAGCTAATATTGTGGACTAGACAATAGTCCACCATATTAGCTTAAGATTTAATTATTTTCGTGTTTTTGTAAGCAATCCCTAGTATTTGTTATATATATCATACATTGTACATAAATTAACTGGGTCGCCATCTTGGACCATTAGCTATTTTAAATCCAAAATGACTAGGATTATGAAATTTATAAATCGTACCATGCATTTTGATTAATACATTTAATATTTAGTTATAAGTTTAACGGACATAATATACCTTACTCATAATACAACATATACCGAGAGAATAAAACAAGACCCCTTAATATAAATAATTTATTATTTATATAAGTATTTGTATAGCACATAAGTTGACTTGACTACAATCGATTACTTTAAGAGTCGCTCGTGTTAAGGCAATAGTTCTGTTACAAATTTAAAATTCTTCGTTAGATATTCGTTATAACCCCATGTGCTGCTGTGCGTACTTTTAGTAGGGTTATCATATTTTGAAAACTATGAATTAAAGTTGGCGAATCTAGGACAATTCGGTGTGAGTATAGGATGCAGAAATATAATAGAAACATGAAATTTCTACTAATATAATAATAACAACGTATATATTTTTTAATAAAATGATTTGAAAAGATCTTCCAAAAAACAGGTCGATGCAAATTCACGAGCCACTTGTAAGAATTACAATTTTTATAAATATAGGTCTTAAAAACATTAATCATTACAGAAATTACAAAACCGGGTCAATTCCCGAGAAAACAAGACGGTTGACAACCCAAACCTAAAGGAATAGACTTTAATATTAATTTAGTTAATTTTAAAATATTATCAATTCAAAAGTGACATATGCTAAGTTATTGATTTGATTAGTATATTTTGGCCAAACTAGTTTCTGTCATTTCCCTTTGACGTAATAGAAAGCCACGATTACATTGAAAAGAGTAGCGATTGATCATATCGATATAGGTAGGTATAACGACTTTTTTTAAATGATCAAAAGATTTTTGAAATAAAAGATTATGTTTGACTTACAACAAAAAATTTAGTACATTTAAGTATTGAAAAATTTTAAAACAAAACGTGTAGTGCTATAATAAACTGAGCACGAAATAAATTTAAATTATAAATAAACCATTTAAAGTACACAACCACTTTGCGCATAGACAATAGAGTTTATCTAGTACTTAATTTAATATTAGAAATATCATTCGTGAACTGTGTACTTTATAATTACAAGTCTTTAAGTTGTATAACGCGGCGGAACAATTTTATAGCGTTTTTAACCTCTAAAAACTAAAGCTATTGTTTTTTACTGAATTTCTAGTAACATAGGGGTTTTTTAAAGACATAATGTCGCATAGACTAAATACTATACGAAATAAACGTTATTGCTATTGTAAATTTTGATATCGTCTATTAGAAATCGCCATGTCTTAAACAATTAAGTCTTTATGTTAACATCTATGGTAATGTTATTGAATTAGAAATGCGTGCCATATGGCTCTGTTATGTGAAAGATCATTAAGTAAGCCTTTGAATAAGGGAAAGTTTTTATATATATCTTATCAAGACAGTTTTTGGTCAGTTTGTGCAGAAACTATATGGTGGATGGATCGAAAATGTTCCGTGTTTCGGTTGGTTCTTTGTTAAAATGTGTGTTTAATATTTTAATTATTCCAAACTACTATGTGTCTTGTTAATATGTTAATATTGTTATAGATTATAATAACAGCAGTGGTGGCGTCTTTTACGGAATGCGCATACATCTATCGTTCACCGGGTGTACATTTTCAATTAACAAATCATCAAAATGATATTTACCAAACGTATAACAGTGCGCAACTCGTCAATGTCGACCGACAAATTTATCACAATACTGTTTCGCAACCAACGCAGAACGAACAGGGTTTTCGGCAAATATTTCAACCGGTTAATAACGTCGCTGGGCACCAAAACGGTTTGTCACTCGATGTAAATAACGGCCTATATTTAGCACAGGATGAATATTATAAAAACAATGCATTCACGCAACCTATTGTGAAAAAACATATTTACTTCCACGCGGCGCCCCCAGACGTTGAAGAAAGACAACAGACTTCTGTAGCGAGTAACAGAAAAAAGGTTTACAAGATAATATTTATTAAAGTCCCATCACAGCAATATTTAAGCCAAGGTCTACCGCTGAATCAATACAATATAAATATGGAAAAGACTCTCATATATGTGCTTACTAAGAACCCTGAAGATGACCAGCAATCGTTAAATAAAGCGACGAAACCAAACCATGAAGTGTATTACGTGAATTACAAGGGTAGCTCCGATAGAGTAACCTCTCAAATAAATAATGCCTTACCCGGGGTACAGTTCAAAGTTTAGAATCCCTAGTTGATAAATGGCCACTTAGTTATCATGTTTTACTGTTATTAATTTATATTAAATCATAGAATATATTCGTCTGTAATTTTATTTTTATTATTTAAATTATTCGTTCCTGTATTTATTTATATTGAAGGGCAGAATGCTTGACCGCGAAATCAAACTTACCGTTAAAAGTGTTAAAGTACTTATTCATTCACATTCACAACGAAACCTTAACCGCTCTAAATCATGTATCAAAAATGTGTAAGCAAGAAATATGAATATCCCGTTTTTCGAAATTAGTCATTTTCTCGAAATTTGAACTATAAAAATATATTTTATTTTAAAAAGGTTTACCGGCCCTGGCTTCCATGGCCTTTAACCGTTATGAAAATGTTGAATCAATGTCACAGACTATAGACTCAGCGTTGCTCAGCGCGCTGCAATAAAAATTTCCTTTGATGCACTTATTATAAAAAATAATAATAATGCGTTCATATTTTGTGTGTCATTTTTTCATAGTTAGTATTATATATTCTTCGAGGGTAAGTATTAAGTATAGATTACTCGATTCTTGTAGATAACCCGTGTTTAGTTGCTTAGCGAGCTTAATATATATCTTGTATACCTTCAAATTCATGTTCAATGAGTAAATACTTAGTCATTAAACAATGTCCTACAACAAGTCTAGACGTAGATGGATCGACAAATTCGTGCGATTTCAGAAATAAACCTAAAAGTCTTTTTTCCTTTTCATAAATTTTATTTACAATTTTATTACGTATTTACTGGGTTTTTAATATCTTTTTTAAATTTGGAAAATTTATTCTCACGTTACTCCATTTTCCTTAGGGAAAAATAAATCATTTGAAACGTATAGTGTATTTTATTTGACTAAACCCAATTTTATCCTTGCTGCAGCTTTTTTCCAGGTTGTCTTATTTATAAAATTGTATCTTAGCTAATATTTTTACTATTTTAATGAATCTTTGTATTTAGTATTTATTTGGTGAGAGTTCATATCAGTGCTGTAAAAACAGTGACCCTTTCCAGCTCCATACCCACGTTTCGCGAACTTTTGACTTACCCTTGTACCTATATGACACGCATTTTCTAATGATTAATTGTATTTCTAAAAAATCTGAATATACTCTTATGTTTTAACTGCTTAAACAAAAACCTTATTATAGTTATATTTACATTGTTACTCGTATAAATAATAAAGATGTTTATTGACGTAATTTATAGGTATTGCTATTACATAGGTAGCTATGTATACATGGCGAATTTTATTTAAGAAAATAATACTATATTGTTATTATATCCATAAAAATCGATGTCTCTTAATAAAATTTAAAATTGCATTAAGCCATATGCTAATATAGCGTAACAAATTTGAGTCTGAGTCTTTTTGCTTCAACATGTGCTTTTAGATGCAATGGAATGGAATGATGGCTGATCATTCATCGAGACATCGATAAGTCGAGTGGAAAGAAAACTATGAACCGTGAAAATTGTTTGAATCGTGTAGAAGTGTATCAATGAAAAGCTTTCCAATTGCGCTGAAAAATAAAAATTGTTTTTTTTTTTCAATAGCACTACTTTAAACAAACCGGTTCGAAAAACATGAAAATACCGTACAGTAAATATTTGCATAAGGTATGGAATTGAGGGAAGTCGAATAATTAAATCTGTTACGAACTCTATCAATTTGTGAAGATCGCAATGAGTGCAGGCAGTGGAGATTTTGAAATTCTGATTCACGTTTATTATTGTTCTCGTTTAAAAACAATCCAATTAACGTTCACTCGTCGAGTGTGC